TGTCATAAATGGAACAATTTAAAAATAGCCTGTGTAGGTCAAAAGCAGTTAATGGAATCTCAACCCAATCAATGTGCATGTATATGAACTGACTACAGCATGAAGTAAGCTGTACTGAACACAGGTTATATACACTGACTACGGTATAAAGTAAGTTATATAAACTGACTACGGTATAAAGTAAGCAGTACTGACCACAGCTTACATAAACTGACTACGGTATAAAGTAAGCTGTATTGAACACAGGTTATATAAACTGACTACGGTATAAAGTAAGCAGTACTGACCACAGGTTATATAAACTGACTACAGTATAAAGTAAGCTGTACTGAACACAGGTTATATAAACTGACTACCAGCACATTGCACATAATGTGATAATGTGATAACTGTCATAAATGGAACAATTTAAAAATAGCCTGTGTAGGTCAAAAGCAGTTAATGGAATCTCAACCCAATCAATGTGCATGTATATGTACTGACTACAGCATGAAGTAAGCTGTACTGAACACATGTTTTATAAACTGACCCTGTGTAGGTCAAAAGCAGTTAATGGAATCTCAACCCAATCAATGTGCATGTATATGTACTGTCTACAGCATGAAGTAAGCTGTACTGAACACATGTTTTATAAACTGACCCTGTGTAGGTCAAAAGCAGTTAATGGAATCTCAACCCAATCTCAACCCAACCTGACCTAGGTATACAGAGATCGGACTTACATATTGATGCTGGCTTTTTCATTGATTGTATTCCTCCCAATGTTGTGAATGATCAAGTTTTCAACGAAATTAGTCTTGGTAAAAATCAGTCCCCGTAATCTTAAAAATTGACACATGCTAACAGGTAAATATCATACCTAGATCAGCCTTTGCCAAACTAGGTCAATGTATCATTATCCCAAACACAACCCTAAAGCTTCTGGAATATGATGGTCATCCACTTAAAAAAGCAGCAAAGTGTCAGTGGATATGCAGAGGTCAAGTCAAATCCCTCAGTCTCTTTGTAGTCGATACCAACTCGCCGCCTGTCATAAGGGTTGATGTCATGTCTCGACTTGGACCTAGTCAAACTAGCACATACTGTAGAGACACATACTCGCACCAATATCCCCCACACATGTGCCCCTGTTGATAACTCCAAAGGTCAGTCTTTGTGCACAACACCTCATGAGTAAAGAAAGTACTCTGAAAGATTTTGGTGATGTATTCCAGGGTATAGGTTTCCTCCCTGGGGAATGTGTCATACAAAGTGACCCCACTGTACTCCCTGTGGTACACGACCCGCGACGCGTGCCTTTTGCGATTTGCAACAAGTTAAAGGCTGAACTGGACCGAATTGATAGTGAGAAAATAATTCCTAAGGTCAGCTGGTCATAGTAGAGAAATCCAAACCAGGTAATTTACTCTTTTGCCTTGACCCTGTTGACCTTTAAGAAACCTTTATTGGGTCATGAAGAGGCCGTATTATCGAATGCGAACACTGCGAGATATCCTGCCAGAATTAGCCCGCACAAAGTACTTCACAAAGATAAATGCTCGATTTGGTTATTGGAATATCAAGCTTGTGAATAAGTTTTCTTACATCAAAACGTTCAACTCTTCTTTTGGGAGATATCGTTTCTTGAGACTTCTGTTTGGCCTGGAGTCATCACAGGCCAACTTCCATAAATCTGCAATGTGTTGTATCTTTGAGCCAGATACCCCGCTTGTTCCAGTCTACTCAGTCTACTCAGCTGTAAATGAGTACGAGGTTAGGAAGCGTTAGAATTGTTGAATGCTAGCTGTTAGCGCCGAAATGGCAGCTCCGACTGTATGTTCCCTAGGGAGTTGAGAAAGATATTGGCTGGTTGCAAAGGCCCTATAACCACGGATAATAGTTTGTGAACAGCTTTTAGACGACCTACGAACTAGGTTGTGATAAAGCGGTATATAAGAACCTCAAATTATCATTAATTATTAAAAAGATTGATGAATGGTACGAAGACTTATCCGGTGTAGTTGCCACTGTAGACGATATTTTGGTCTTCGGACAAACAGGCGAGGAACATGATGCTTACTTGCACGGCGTACTTTCCCGTTCTCGCTAAAAAGGCATAAAACTTAACGAGAAAACATTTCTTTGGACACGTCCTCAGTTCAGAAGGCCCGACGTCTGACCCTACAACGGTCATTGCGATTGACCTAATGAAACCCCCACAGAGTCGAAATTAGAGACCGTGTTTGTTATGATACATGTAACAGATCATTCTAAGTTTGCTTCAAACCTTGCAGAGGCTACGAGTCCAATGCGAAAACTTATGACAAAGGACGTTGAATTCTTGTCAGACATCCTCCAGTAGGCAGATTTTGATATGGTTAAAATCATCCTCACTCAGTTACTGGGTCCTGTATTGACGTACTACAACGTCCATGCTTCAAAGTATAGCCTCGGGGCAGCACTACTACAAAACGAACGGCCTGTCGCGTATGCCTAAAATCCCTCATTCAATAAAGAATAATGTAGAGTCTGACCATAAACGTTTAGTGTCTATCATGCTCAAACCACTACACGCAGCACTACCAAGGCTGCAAAGGCTTCTTCTTCAGCTGCCGAAGTATGGCATTGATGTACAGTATGTCCCTGGTAAGAAATTCCCTGTAGCCGATATTCTGTCGAGAAAGTCCCCCCCCCCCCCCCCCCCCCCCCCCTCCCCCTGACATATGCTCAAATATGTCCGAGGGTATGGATTAGCATGAACACACTGTGCTCAGCATGCTTCCTGTTAGTGAAAAGTTAGACTATATCATAAAAGCTACCAAGAATGAGAACAGAATATCCGTGAGCAAATACAAACCAGTCGTTCAGTTTAGAACAAGAATCATGACACGTGTTCCGTACCCCTTAAGCAATTGCAAGATGGTGATCCTGTTAGAATCCAACTGTCAAATGGCATATAGAAACCAGGTTTGGTGATTCAAAAATACAATGATCGCTCCTATATTGTCTCTGAAGGCGGTGGGTCTAGTCTTAGAAATAGACATTAACTCATCAAAACAAAGGAAACCCCTTTCCCTCACAGTATGTTTACTTTAGATGAACCCAATTTCCCCTTAATACTAGAGTCGTATGGTGAAGTTGGTCAACAACAACCAACAAATGACAGTCCACCTATCCCAGTGTCCCCCTCTAAGGTAAGAAACTGTGAACCAAGAGTGAAGCCTCTGTTAGTTACACCAGAGAAACCAAATATAACCACTACCACAGGTCCTTACATATCCAGGTCAGGTAGAGTTGTTAAGTCAATGATTACTAAATCTGTGCTAAGTAATGACATTCTGCTTCATGATACTAAATTGAGTTTATACTCGGGAAGACCTTATTTACATCTTGTTTGAATTAGCATGTTTATTCGGTTTATGTTTACATTGTTCTAAAAAGGAAAAAAGATATGTATGTGACATTTACAAGTGATATGAACGGTATATGTTACAGCGGATATGATCGTTTAGAGATTTTGTTTTCATACATGAACTTGTGATACAGGAAAAATGACATTGTCAGTCCAGTCTATTAAGTGATATTGTGTTCTTTGTAAAGAAAGGAGATGTAACATTATAGTACATTTTTAGTGCCGCGCTACCTATACTTATTTGCATGTAGTTATCTCCCGTGTAATACGCTTGGCTATATACATATAGAAATTAGTCTCGTTCAACCAGTCTCTTATTGTCTGCGCAAGTTACGCCAAGCAGAGAGCTTGGTCAAAGTCTACGATATCGTTTTGTTAAGTCACAACGAGGATAACCGGAAATTTGGTCAATAATTGTATCAATCAAAGGTAGATATTCACTTTTCAACTTTTAAATGCAGAGTTCGAGTGGTGCATTTTTTATTTTTTAATTAATGAAAAATCTTACCTATACATGCATTCCTGAAGAAAAAGCTTCAAATCTCAAAAATGATTGCATGTTTTTTCACTGGATATTTTACAATAAATCACGAAGCTAACAAGGCTTTTGGTACAAGTAAAGCCATATTACCTAAGTGAGAACATTATTTGTTTTGTATAGTGAACAGGTAAAATCTCACTTGCTTTGCATGTTTTTTCTAACCTCAGTCAGCTTTGTCTGCTTTGTGCTCAGTTGTGATTTATTCAGTACAGCGGCATTATTCTGGAGATTTCACAAATTTTGTTTTACATACACGGATACTTCAGAAATGCATGTATAGGTAAGTTTTATATCAATAACATTATTCTTTGAAATGTTTTTATGGCGTTGACATAATGTCTGGAAATGAAAGTAAAAGCACTGCCCTCTGGCGGTGGTAATTTTTTAAATTCTGTGTTTGACCAGACTCATGAATCACAAAGTGATCAAGCGTCTGGTCGAACGAGACTAATATAGATATGTTTTTGAATACAAAATGGTGAACACGTCTCGTCGTCCTGTGTTGCCATTCCTGGATGATCGTGCATCAAAAGCGCTTGTTCAGGTCACCGACGATAACAAACAATTAAACTCTACAAGGCAAGCAACATGTAAGTATAATCAAATACATCGAAAATCATACATTAAAGCGAACAAAGAAATAGCGTTTTCCTCTATTAGATCAGGAGGGCAGCCATAAACGATATCCTGTAATATCGATTCTACTTTGTATTGTAGAGAGAAAATCATTGAAATATATTGATCTTCCCCGACCAATCTCTAATGGGTGCACCTCATACCAGCAGCCGTTATAAGCCGAAATACTTGGTAGTGAAGCGGACAAACAATAACTCATACGCTTTTAAACTACAGGTAACAAGAGCTGTAAAGCAGTTTTTGAAATGTCAGACTCATTGATCACTCGTTTAAAGTTGATACTCCTCTTAAACCAAACGCATTGATATACATGAATCTTGTCAAATGCACAGAAAATCTACACCTAATAGTTCTGCACGAAAACATGACCGAATTTAGTGAACTATTTGACTGCTTGATGTATCATGTAACTTGTCACATCAAAACTACTTA